GCCTGAAATAACAGGAGTGAAGTGCCTAGATATCCCGGGAAGTCCTGCTCCCTCTGCTTTACTTAGATCACGTTACCTGGAATCACAGTGTGTCCAATTCTGGGCACCACAACTGAAGGGAGAGGTTGATTCTGAGCTGGAATGTGTCCAGAGGAGGGCGACTGAAATGATCAAGGGTCTAGAGAACAAGCCCTATGAAGAGCGGCTTAAGGAGCTGGGTATGTTTAGCCTTCAGAAGAGAAGGCTGAAAGGAGACAGGCTGATAGCCATGTATACATATCTGAGAGGAAGTCCTAGGGATGAGGGAGCAAGCTTGTCTTCTCCTGCCCTGGAGACTAGGACGCAATGGAGCAACAGCTTCAAGCTATAAGAAAGGAGATTCAACCTGAATATTAGGAAGAACTTCTTGACTGTGAGAGCTGTTCAGCAGTGGAACTCTCTGCCCCAGAGTGTGGTAGGGGCTCCTTCTTTGGAGGCTTTTGAATAGAGGCTGGATGGCCATCTGTCAGGGGTGCTTTGAACACAATTGTCCTGCTTCTTGGCAGAAGGGGGTTGGACTGGATGATGGCCACGAGGTCTCTCCCAACTCTAGGATTCGATGAATCTATTTCCATTTGTCTCATTATTTGTATCCATCCAGTTTGTTTTTCTTCATATCAAACAAGGTTATTATGAAAATACAGGTGAAAATATTTATTTATTTATTGTCTGTTGGGCGTCGTATTTCAACAAGTTTCCAATTAAATATCTTTTATAAGCACATACGCGTATTGGGCGACGCTCCCAGACAGTGTTGTTGTGGACAGCCTGAGTGGTTGTGACTGCGGTCAAGGCCATGCTGAGGAAAGTGGCCTCGCCCCTGATTTCACTTCCATCCACTTGATTCACTTCTAATCCCATTAATTACGCATCATTCTGTGTTGAGTTTCAGTTTGTGTCTATAAATCTTGAAATTACAAATTACGCTTTCCTCCCTCATTGGAATCACTCAATCACTGGCCGATCCTTACAAGTTGGTCCTTTCGTTGATTCCTTGACAGCAGGGGTCCTCACACTTTGTAAACAGAGGGCCAGGCCACAGTCCCTCAAACTCTTGGAGGGCCGGATTATAATTAGAAAAGAAACATGAATTCCTCTGCACACTGCACATATCTTATTTGTAGTGCGTATATAGATATAGATATATAAAGTTATTAGTATTTCAATGGGAAGTGTGGGCCTGCTTTTGGGTGAGGAAATAGGATTGTTGTTGTTGTTGTGTGATTTCAGACTTAGGTTGACCCCGAGCGAGGGCCGGGTAAATAACCTTGGAGGGCCGCATCCGGACCCCGGGCCTTAGTTTGAGGACCCTTCTTCACAGCCTCTCCCGTCGCTTACCTTTGAAGTTCATCAAAAACTCTTCTCTTATATAAATCCCCCTTCCCAGGACTTTCCCCCTTTCAGGCTGTTTTGCATATGCTTATTTGGGCATTGTTGAGGCGGCTTCTATGGGAGGATCGCTCAGAGCAGATGCCCTTTCTTCCCAGGTTGGGATTTATTGCGTTGGTCACTGCAAAGACATTCCTCGGAAGGAACCTGGATGGAACGCCTGTGTATCTCGAGCTCTCCTTCCGCTGCTGAAAACCTTTCCCTAGACTAGCGTTTCTCAACCTGGGGGTCGGGACCCCTGAGTGGTTCGTGAAGGGGGGGTGGTAGAGGGGTCACCAAAGATCATCAGAAAACACAGTATTTTCTCATTGGTCATGGGGGTTCTGTGTGGGAAGTTTGGCCCACTTCTATCGTTGGTGGAGTTCAGAATGCTTTTTGCTTCCCAAATGTGTATTTCCCCCAAACTCCACCAGGGGTCACATTTGGGCACATTGAGTATCCGTGCCAAGTTTGGTCCATCAGGTCCATCCTTGTTAGAGTCCACAGTGCTCTCTGGAGGGAGGTGAACTACAACTCCCAAACTCAAGGCCAATGCCCACCAAACCCTCCAGTATTTTCTGGTGGTCATGGGAGTTTGGTTCAATGCCATTGCTGGTGGAGTTCAGAATGCTCTTTGATTGCAGGTGAACTATAAATCCCAGCAACTACAACTCCCAAATGATAAAATCAACCACTCCCCCCATATTCAATCAATCACAATAACAACAACAACGGGCAGGCCACATATACCTTATACCGAGGGGGTGAGAAGGGCGAAATAAATAAATAAATAAATATGCAGGATAAAACAATTAAAAGACTGTAATGAGATAAAATAGGAGCATGACATTTATGGGGAACGCATAAAAGGAGCTTTTCCACATTTCTCTTCATCCCAATAAAATCAATATGATGCTCCAGAATTAGGATTTCCCCATTTTTCCTTCTCTCCTTCATTTTTTTCTTCCTCCATCCCTCTCTTCTTCTGAATCCATTCCCTTCTTTTTAAAGAACCATTGATTCCCACGGCTGGTCTCTGGATATGTGCGTGAGGCCCCAGTGTCGTCCCTTCTTGGTATTTCCATTCTCAACGTGACCCATGAAGGGGAAGGGGGAAATCTTGGAGGTAGAGAAGGTCTCT